TTCTACTAAAATGGACAAATCAGTCTCTAAAACGAGCGAATTTGGCACTTTAGATGATTTTTTTTGGAAAATCGCTTTGTCAAAATATCATCCTTTGCTCGAAATATCTGTGGCAAAAAATTGCAAGTGTTCAAAGTTTTGAAAAAATTTAAATGAGTTTTTCCGGAAAAGAAAGTCTGCCTTTTTTACTACAGTAATACTCGCCCGGAATAAAGATCTTCAGCGTTCACAGGCTTCATTGTTTCTAGCGTAAAAATCACTTCCGGTCTGTGTTGTCAAAACGCATTTTTTAGCATAACACTAAGCTCTACCTCGACTTTGCAACACCACCGAAACGAATCTGAGGCGCTGGCTTTCAGTTTTTACTGCAAATTTGCCTGGGAATCAAAAAACACGTGGTGCGCACTAATGGGTTCGTGTCGTACATCGTAGAACTAGGCTGTTCGCGATGCTGTGTTCTAGCACTAGAATCAAGGAACTACTTTATCTCGTCTTTTACAGATTGACGATGAGCTGGATGCAGAACTGGAACCCGAATTCGATGAAGCTGATGTTGGGCGCTTAACAACATTTAACTGCACCTCAAGTGCCGTTAGCGATTTTTATTCTTCAATTCAATGTACGCCGATGCCAAATGCTCTAAATCCGTGTGAGGACGTTGTCGGGTAATAATCATGCACATGTGCGGAAAAATTTTGGTCCCATATTTTCATCGTGAAGCCAAAGTGGTAATGGACTAGACGCTTACGAGGCATGGACAGGTGTAAACTATGCCAAGACAATATGGCTCATTTGTTTCATTAAACTTGAGTGATATGACATTTTCATTATGTCGCCCCTAGCATTAGACACAAAAAAGCAACACGCAGTCTGTACGGCGCTGTCTGTGGCGCAGAATAAAATGAAGTTAGACCTTCCCGATCTGCAGAGCATGCAAAGCGTTTCCCATCGTCTGTTTACTCTTCGTAGATGCGTCACTGAATTAGAAATTTCTCCCGAAGGAAACAAAAATCGGACGTCTGAAGAAAATTTGAGATGAAACGATGATTCCACGGCCAGAACTGGATCTCTCGATGTATATCTAGTACTGCAGGTTGCTGGCAAGGGGTAAATTCATCAACCATGTTTCCCAAAAGATCGTTGTGTCGTACAGCGCTCTCAATTTGTGCAAGAGATGTCAAAGGGTAGAGGTACCAGTAAGGAGGAATCTACGACATGGCGTCTTGGCTTGATTGCACTCGCCGTAGTTACGTCTCAACACCGTCAGGAGTGTTACATCCATAAACCGAGCAAGTGGTCGAGAAAAAGGGGTGGGCGATTGGGAAGCGAGGAGAAGAAAGGGGGAGGATTTACTAGCTTTGGATGCTTGCTGTTTCGGTGTTCGAACTTTTTAAAGAGTGTGCAGGAGCACTTGAATTTCATTGCGTTTTCTTGTAGCTTCGACTTCTTGCGGTGGGCCATTTGGTTCGTCTGGATTTCGGCAATTGTTGGCAACGTTGGCGTCTGGATTGTACTCTGTCATACGCGGCAAAAAGCTATGCAAGTGCATTACTTTTTTATGGCGAATTTGTCAGCTGCCGACTTGCTAACAGGTCAGTCTATTGCTTACTTGCATTGTACCTGTCTGTGAGTTAACGGTACTGGCAGATGAATGTCGCAGCTGTCACAATTTTTTGCAAATAATTGGAAAAGAAATGCGGGTTTGGATGGAAGGGGGAGAAAGTGTGGTGGGAGCGGTGAAAAAAACTTACAGGAGTCAGTTTGGTTATTTAAATGCTACGGTTCTTTATCAATTAATTTGCAGGCGAACCGTCAGTTTGCCTTCCCACATTGAGTTTTTAGAGCTGTGAGTGATCTTTGCTTGATGCCGCTAGGAAATTACTTTAGAACGTCTTCTGATTTTTCAACAAGATTTGTATACGCAATGTAGTGGCGCATTTACCTTTTCATCTGCTACAACGGGATCACTTATACGGTAACAGTGTAAAGAATGCCGAATTTGAACGTTAAACAATCAAGGACGCATAATTTATAAACGAAAAAAAAA